ATTAAGATCCCTTTATCATCACAAAATAAAGCTAATAGTATAAAAATATTGGCCAAAGCTGATCATACTCTGCTGCTTTTAAGATACAGATCATAGGAACCCACTTTCTGCCATCAAAATATCAATTGTGCCCTGGCCAGTGTGGCTCAGTTGGTTGAACAACATCCTATGCACAAGAAGGTCTCCAGTTCAATTCCTGGTCAGGGCACATATCCAGGTTGTGGGTTCGATTACCGGTCCAGGTGCATGCAGGAGGCAACCGGTCGATGTTTCTCTTTCACATCAATGTTTCTCTCTCTCCCTCTCCCTTCTTCTCTCTCTAAAAACCAATAAAAACGTATTTTTGCCCTATTTTGCCCTAGGTTTAGCTCAGTGGGTAGAGCGTCAACCTGCGGACTGAAGGGTCCGGGACTCAATTCCGGTCAAGGGCACATGCCTGGGGGGTGAAGGGTCCTGGGTTTGATTCCACTCAAGGGTGCATGCCCAGGTTGCTGGCTCTGTCCCCAGTAGGGGGCGTGCAGAAGACAGCCGATCAATGATTCTCATCATTGATGTTGCCATCTCTCCCTCCCCCTTCTTCTCTGAAATCAATAAAAATATATATTAAAAAACAAACAAACCTATTTTTAAAAATGTATCAATTGTGCTTTTATGATTTATAAACTCCATAGCCAATAAGCTATGGTGTTCAGTTCAGTATGGTCAGCAACTTGTGATTAGAAACTCTCCCCTTTTTCTAGAAAACCTCAAGTAGCTTCTACTTCCTGACAAGGTTAAATTCATGCCCAACTTACAGGAGGGAGGGGAGTGGAGAAGAGGGCTGTGTAGGCACCCAGGCAGGCAGTGCAGTACGGGCCGTGGGTAACTGCTTATTTCCATTGTGAAGAGTCAAAGGAGGTAAGCAAGGCCCAAAGATGTTCCTGAGACTTTAATTATTGGTATCAAAAGTTAGACCCTGGTGTTCAGATTCCCCTACCTTTTATTCCCTCACTGTTCCTTTGAAAAGAGAACCATACTCCAATCTTCCCTGTCTTGCTCCAGGTACTTCCAGGTTTCAGAAGAAAGTGCTCTCTTCTGATCTGGGGTCCCAGAAAAGAGCTTTAACCTCCTGGGTGCGTGCATTCTCCACCTAAAATCTCTAGCTAGTTACCACAGCAAAGTGACTGTGATGCACACGCTCTCTAAGTAACAGTCTGAATCTGTTTAAACGGGCTGTGACCAGAATTTCAAATCAGTCTAGAAAGACAATTTCATCACTGAAATACATCTACTTTGATTCCCTTTGCAGTTTTGTGGTAATTTTTCAGCACCTGCAATGTTTTAAAATTTCATGGCACAGCTTTATCCGTGAAGAAGAAATGAAGTATCAGATGTTATTAAAACCCCCTTAACACAGTCAGGAAGAATGAAGGAGGGCACCAGAGCACAAATCAACATAATGACTCTTTTATTTCATTCGTTTAAATGAAATGTCTTTCTCTAATGGGAGAGACATTGTCAATATTAAAATGTGCATTTACACAGAGCTTTCATTTTATACTCTGTAATTACTTAGCATGCTATCTACACTATAGACCTGCAGAATGTGTTTATAATTTAAAAATAATTTATTGAGACAGAGAAGGCAAGGTTAGGTGCAGTGCCCAACACAGTGAACACGGTGGTTAAGTGCCCTGCCCAACGCAGTGAACACGGTGGTTAAGTGCCCTGCCCAACACAGTGAACACGGTGGTTAAGTGCCCTGCCCAACGCAGTGAACACGGTGGTTAAGTGCCCTGCCCAACGCAGTGAACACGGTGGTTAAGTGCCCTGCCCAACGCAGTGAACACGGTGGTTAAGTGCCCTGCCCAACGCAGTGAACACGGTGGTTAAGTGCCCTGCCCAACACAGTGAACACGGTGGTTAAGTGCCCTGCCCAACACAGTGAACACGGTGGTTAAGTGCCCTGCCCAACACAGTGAACACGGTGGTTAAGTGCCCTGCCCAACACAGTGAACACGGTGGTTAAGTGCCCTGCCCAACACAGTGAACACGGTGGTTAAGTGCCCTGCCCAACACAGTGAACACGGTGGTTAAGTGCCCTGCCCAACACAGTGAACACGGTGGTTAAGTGCCCTGCCCAACACAGTGAACACGGTGGTTAAGTGCCCTGCCCAACACAGTGAACACGGTGGTTAAGTGCCCTGCCCAACACAGTGAACACGGTGGTTAAGTGCCCTGCCCAACACAGTGAACACGGTGGTTAAGTGCCCTGCCCAACACAGTGAACACGGTGGTTAAGTGCCCTGCCCAACACAGTGAACACGGTGGTTACTATAACTTTTCAACAGACTCCATAAATCAGATGGGATAAGGTAATCAGAGCAGAAAGAAGAGCACTCAGGACAGACCACAAGCAATGAGAGATACAGTGCTACTTAAAACAGGAGCTGTGATAACGGAAGGTTTTTTTCTTTAAAAAAAAGCATGAGAGCCCTGCCGGCGTGGCTCAGTGATTGAGCATTGACCTATGAGCCAGGAGGTCATGGGGTTCGATTCCCAGTTAGGGTATATGCCTGGGTTTCGGGTTCAATCCCCAGTGGGGGGCATGCAAGAGACAGCCAATCAATGATTCTCATCATTGATGTTTCTATCTCTCTCTCCCTCTTCCTTCCTCTCTGAAATCAACAAAAATATATTTTAAAGAAAAAAGCATGACATTCAGTATAAGAGAACATTTATTAGGTTCTCAACCCTGAAATAAAGGCCTTAACTTTTTAACAAAGTTATACCAGGTACTTTAAATGCAGTAATATATTAGACCCTCACAATTTAAGATATGCATAATTCAGAAAGGATTATGTAGGACTAATAAAACTAATAATGACAACAGCATTAACTATCATAGAGTGAGCCAATTATGCTCAAACTATTTTGTACAGGTTTTCTTATTTAGCTTTCACAATAAATCAGTGAAGAGAAGAAAAAAACAAATAGTCACCCCCCCAAAAAATAAACTTAACACTCAGGAAGATTATGTAACTTGTCCATGGTTACAGTAAGTGATAGAGCAGAGACTTGAACCCAGGGTTGTGATGACTTCAAAAACCAATATTTTTTCTAACCAGAACATTAGGACACTGAACTATATGACCTTGAAAATGACCTGTATATCTAATACCCAAAATTCTCTTTTCTAATGGGTTTCTACACTGGAGCATATTAAGCTCCAAGCCCTGCCCCTCCAGCAACTCTCTAATCCTTACTCCCTTCAGGGAATAAAGCAAGAAAGGAAGAAACAGAAAGGAAGGGAGAATCACTTTAGGTTAAATTTTTCAGACACAAAGGGGTGATCCTAGGTTATGGCGAGCACTAAGAAAGCTAGAGCGCGAGGAAAGGGAAGAATGTAGATTGGCTATTAGAGAAGAGCTTCCTGACAACAAGCATTGAGACGCTGGGACACATTATCAAAGAACATTACGTAGGATAAACTGAAGAAAATACAACCCCGTGGAAGGCTGTCAACACACAAATAGTGTCAACAGACACACAAGATGGGGAAGGACAAATATAGCCTACTTGGCTCAGCCTCTCACTTATCATCTGAAATAGAAAAGAAAAACCGGAACGTGGCAAAATGAGCCTGACAGCAGCAGCCAGGAGGCTGCACTTCAGTTCTGCCTGAACACAAGTTAGCAAAACGCAAACCCAAATATCTGGGCCACATCCCTCAGAGGGCTCATCAGTGCACAGGTCCCATTCTATGCTCTCCTTCAATTCATTCTCCGTTAAGACACAGCATCTCCATTTCCTCTGCAAATTCCTATTCATACTGGTAAAAGAAAATGAAACCCACATTGTGTTAGTTTCTTAAGTATGTGTTGGGAGAACTCTGAATGAAAAATATCACCAAGGTACCGGTAACTTTGTTCTGGGATTAAGAACAAAACAAAAAGCCCCCACATAAGTCTGGTGGAATTGTTAGACCCAGGAAAGTACAGAGTTTCACGGCCGTACCCCTTCTCTCACCACATGGAATCACCCACAGGCAAAGACCCAAAGCTGACTGCCTTAGGACAGCCATCCTCAACCCGGGTGCCGAAAGTGTATTTAACATATGCAATACCTGACTCTTTGGTCAGGAGCAATGACCTCTTTTCCCTTACCAGTGGTTCTCAACCTTCTGGCCCTTTAAATACAGTTCCTCATGTTGTGACCCAACCATAAAATTATTTTCGTTGCTACTTCATAACTGTAATGTTGCTACTGTTATGAATCGTAATGTAAATATCTGATATGCAGGGTGGTCTTAGGCGACCCCTGTGAAAGGGTCGTTCAACCGCCAAAGGGGTCGCGACCCACAGGTTGAGAACTGCTGCCTTAGACTGTCAAATAAAAAACGACAACAGTAACAACAGCCAATACAACAATAGCTGTCCTGTGTGAATGAATCAAAATTATACCTACTTTTGTCAGATCGGCAAAAAAAAATTCTGTTGTTGTGCCACACAATTTTAATAAATATTTTATGTGCCACGAGGTGAAAAGGCTGAAAACCGCTGCCTTCGGGAGCTGCAGAGTCCTAACAATTTCATTTCTCCCTTTCTAATGTCAGCTGAGTTGTGACGTGAGCCTTTACTAATCTGTAAAAAATGAGAAGTCTACATGTTCCTGGTAGTAACAGGACTCTGACTTTCATTTTGAAAAGAAATGTTTCTTTTAGGATAATTATGTATTATCAGGACAGAGGGGGAGAGGGGGGATTTCCCATGAAAAAACAGACTCAAGTCAGCCAAGTTACTGCTTTTGTATTCTTTCCTGCTATTCTCTACAGCCACTGCCACCCTAAAGAGATGGAATGTCTCGGCCTCTGGTCCCACCAACACCTGTTCCTTTTACACAAAACAGAAAAGACCTCTGACCATGAGTTATTCGCTTCTAACAATACACCCCATGGAAACACAGCAATTGGGAGCATGAGTACTTGTTTCCGGGAGACACGGAGTCTAGGCAAGACCTACCTTGTGAGTAGAGAAGGATCTGCATCTCTAGAAGGACGCAGGTGAACAGCTGCACCAGGTTCTCCAACCCCAGGAGCTCGAAGGCCTCTCGCAGAGGGTAATCGGAGAGGGGGAGTTCATTGGGCCCAGGCCTCTGGCATATGACGGGTTCATAAACACCATAAAATTTCAGTGATCTCCCTGGCGGTGGGAGGGGTACCTCATAAAGAATATTATGGATGTAGCTCTCCAGCGGCAAGGGTGGTGGCTGCTGCGAGGTAACTGCTCTGTAAAGCTGGAGGAGGAATTTCTTGCAGGCCTGCATGAAAGGCAGTGGTGTGATCAAACATATGCTTTTGGAAACATACAGGGTGTCTCTGCTGATGTCATAGGAGTTGTATCGCTGGAGTTTCAAAAGGGAAGTTGTATCCCCCTCGTCAATGCTGCTGGCCAGCGAGTCCATGCTGCAGGAGGAGGAGGCGTAGACGCTGCTGTAATGCTCGGCGTTGTGCATCTGGTAGAGCGTCTGCATAGCTGTGCAGATCTGCTTACTTGTAACTTCTTCATAAAAAGTGAGAACAAAACCGTAGGTGCGAGAACCATCTTCCCGGGTGATTATAAATGAGTGGAACTGAGGGTCTCTGCTGTCAGTCTGTGTTCTGAAAGACAGCCCTTTCGGCATGCACAACTGTGGAGCAAGAGGGGAAGCATCAGAATGCAGTGCGTGATAACCTCAAACCAGAAAAAACAACGTTCTCGAACCTCTATCCCAGCTTGTGACCTTCAGCAAGTCATGTAACTCAGTGGTTCTCAACCTTGGCTGAACATTAGAATCACCTGGGAATCTTTTTAAAATCCTGATTTCTGGGCCTCATCCTCCAGAAATTCTGTTTCTTTGTTACGGGGTGGGGCCACAACATTAGTGCAGCCAAAGTTGAGAACCACTGATGTAACTTCTCTGAGCCAGTTTCTTTATCTAGAACATTTGCTACATTTGTGACTTGAAGACAAAATACTCAAGGGCACTTTACAGATATTTAATATTTAAGTACTAACATTAGAATCACCTGGGAATCTTTTTAAAATCCTGATTTCTGGGCCTCATCCTCCAGAAATTCTGTTTCTTTGTTACGGGGTGGGGCCACAACATTAGTGCAGCCAAAGTTGAGAACCACTGATGTAACTTCTCTGAGCCAGTTTCTTTATCTAGAACATTTGCTACATTTGTGACTTGAAGACAAAATACTCAAGGGCACTTTACAGATATTTAATATTTAAGTACTATTTTTAGAGTAGTGATGATAACGTTTCAAAGAAATAAGGAAATAGATGAAGGCTCACTTGATAAATATGGAATAATAAGTTATTTTATCTATTTTGAACAATATGACACTTCATCCTTGAAAAATACACTTTGAAAGTGGAATGAACTGAAGGGGAGAAACCAGACATTTCAGATTATTTCCAGTAGAGATTGTGCTCTGGGTCTTGGGAACTACCCAGGATTCAGTCAAATTTGGGAATAAATTACCTGAGGAGTTAAAGATGTTATATTTAAGATACTTAAAATGCACAAGAAATTAGAATTGAGTCTTTAAAATTCTTCTAAAAATATTTTAAGTAAAAGAAATGAAACAAATTACAGAAAATTTGAAATACACTAAGAAAAACAGAACTTATAATTCAACTACCCAAATAGAATCATTAATTTTTATATATTCCTTTTTACTTTTATATTTTAATATGCTTTCTGCATAGAAATAATTTTATCATACATGATTACATTATATTTTTCTTTCCTTTTTTCAGGCTTGATCACTGATGTGGGTAAAAGTGAGAAGTTTCCCCAAAATCCATCCCCACATTACCAAGAAAACACAATTTGCCTGAAAAGTTACCTGTACTTTGGTCAAACTGTCAACAAACACTTGCTAACTGCCTTTATGAGCTAGGGCCCTCGATGGTGACAGGATGGTGAGAGAGACAGACACAAGTCAGTCACTGCTCCTTTGGAGCTTCTAGTCCAGTAAGAATGACAGATGATTAAAAAAA